TCGGTGGGGAACTGCTGTCCACTGGGCACAAGCCGCGCCAATCAAGGACAGCAACAGGGCTGGCAACAGCGACATGGCTTCACTCACAGCGTGCGGCTATTGACTGACCAGCGGCCGGTCCGGGTCTGAGCCAGGGCTGAAGGGAACTTCAGTTTCAAATGACCCATATGGAGATTGCATACAACATCCTGGCAGTCTAACATAGCACCCGACAATTAGGTACTGGGTGTGTTTTCGTAAATCCGGGAAAGAACAGAGCACCACCGAGTCGCATCGAGTCGCTCCGACGGCTGGTATGGTTAAGGCCACGCCCGTCTCAGGAATCAACTCACGAAAGGCAGGCTCAACAGCTGCAAGCTCCGCAGCAGTGCCTACGGCTCTCAATGCTCTCTGATAGACGGGCGGAAAGTCGAGGCCACACGCTGTGTCCGTCTCCATCTTGCATGATATCAGCTCGAGGAAACAGCCTGTGCGACTTTCAATCTGCTTCATGACCCTCATCTTTGCATCCTCGGCCGCCGTGTGAAGCCACACCTGCAAGTCAGAGCCCGAAGCGCCGGCATGGAAGGGCCAGTACTGCACTTCCAACCCGAGTAGACCCAATGCACCGTCTGCATCTTCCCCATTCCAGTCCAGAGGCATGGGCGATGCCCAACCCAAGCTATTCCACAGATTCTCCCGCAGGTTGCCTGGGCTGTCCAGTCCGACTGCAGACAGGCTCCTGACTGCCGAATCCGCGTCGACTACCCGAGGAGGTTGGTATCCGACTTCATCAACGGCTTCAAGGTAGGTAGCAAGCCGCACATTCAGCAGCTTCCGCGCGCGAGACGAGTGGCTCCAAACGACCACATCACTTGCCCACCTGCTCCCGTAACAACGCGAAAGAAAGCTAGCAGCATTCTGGGGGGCAGGAACCAGAAGATTGTGAAACGGCAGTCGCACCAATGGAAAAATCTCTTCATCGGATGGAAATTCGGCAAGTTGTTGGAGGGGCCGGCACTCTCGCAGAAACACGTCAACAGACTCGGAAAATCGTCCGTCGCGTCCCCAGCAGAAAAAGCGTCCCATGGCCACGTTGCTGCCGGGCCAGTGTCCGAGTCCGCGAAAGCTGCGACCAATCTCTCCCAAAGCATCCTGTGCACGAGGCAGATCCTCCTCAAGCAACTCGATGTCCAAGTCATCATCGTGGGGAATAAAACCCTTGTGACGCACAGCACCAAGAAGCGTCCCACCAGTCACCCAGTATGGGATACCTGCTGCACCTAGCTTCTCTTCCATGAACAAGAGAAGGGCAAGAAGTCTGTTCTGGAGAGACGGAGGTGGCAGCGCAGTCTGTAGGGAGGTAAGGAGATCCGCCGAGAGGGCCTCACCTGAAGTGCCACATCCAGCATCCCGCACGTCCATGAGTCTGGAGGCAAGCCAATTTAGATGTATGAAGATTCCCTGAAAAACACACACACACACCAAGTGAATCCTGAGAGAGAATATTCAGCTCTGAAACAACATGCCACGTACCAAGATTGACAACATTTGAAGCAAAGACCCTTCACAAACATTGGCTTGCAGGTCTAAGCATCAGATAAAGCTGCACAATGGTCACAAGTCTTTCCTACTGAATCACTCATGGCGATGATGTTGCATTGTTCTGCACTTCCCGTGTCCTCGCCATCAATGCTGCAGTGAATGTCGCCTCTTGCAAAAATCATGCTGGGCATGTTGATTATGCCTTGTTGTCTGCCATCCGGTGCCTTCAGCAACGGCTCCCAGGTCACAAACGGCCTGGCTGGCAATGCTCCCACTTGCGCTCCAACCCAACGTGCGAGGGCCTGGGGGAGCACCCTGCGGAAAGCACCGGTTGCTGCATCTTGCAGCCGCAAGGCCTTGACGCATACCCACAGATCTCACAGCATCCGCCATAGCTTCACTTGGTTACTCCACCTTGCAATCAGGCCATCTGACTGGTTCCTGGTCCCGCAAGAACAGCAAGCTTCTCTTTTCGGCTTGAGGTCCGAGCGAGTACTGCGGAGTAGCATCTCGCGACTGCGACCAGGACTCCAGCGCAATAGAACTGGCCAACAGAGCGTGGTTGGCAATCGAACGAATCCTTCTTACGAAGGCCCTCGCCACGACAGGCTTCCACGCTGCGAAGTGGCACGGAGCTGTAGCGACAGCATAGGACAGCACCTGCATGTCGCTTTTTGTGGAATCCGGCAATGGACGATGGATAACTGCAAGCACTGCAAGCCAGGCGCCAAGGTGCTGTACCTGAAAACAAGCAACGAACGATTAAGTTCCGCACAGTCTGGTTGTCCGAACACACGATCCAACTAGATCTGGCCAGGTGCAATTCGGTGCCCACTGTGAGTACCGCATAGGTTGTGAATCTTGGACACCTGGACTTGGACTGGGAATGGTTACATGGACACGGAATTTGCTGCAAACTGTCGGAAAAGGCCTTCCACCGGGACCCCAAAAGGCGAGTGTCAATGGAGCCTTAATTAGTAAGTTTTGGGGGACAAATGCCGTTGCAAGCCATGCTGTTCAAAGCTCTGGTGATGCTGAGGCCTGCACACCATCGCCAGAAGACTTCCGCGTGGCGAAGACCTGGAGCAGTCTTTTTCCAGATCCTAGTGCTGCCTGTCCAACCTGGCGGGGCTTGAACGAGTTGCCGACGCACCAAAAGAGAGGAAGCAAGCATAGGAGGATTTCCGGTATCGCTCCGATGAGCTGCTCCTGCCTAGAAGTGCACAAAAGACTGCCCTGCACACTTCGGCTTCACAGGGGCATGGACCTGCGGCCCCTGGCCCCTGCCAGGAAAGCCAGAACAGCGACCATGACCTGAGTCCAACGGTGGGCTCGCGACGCTCAGTGCCACGTTTCAGCAAGGCCCTTGCCAACCGAAGCCCAACGGCGGCGAAGGCAATGAAAAGGAACACATGGCGAAGCGCCCGCGCAAGTGCCATGCCTGACTTATGACTTCGATCGAGAATTTGGATCTCAACATTTTCAAGGGCCTCCCAGGTTCTGCGGAGTGGTTTCGATAGGCACTGCTGCAGCTAAACGCAGAGCATCTGCAACACCTTGGTCAAAAGTCATCTCCGTCTTGCACATTTAAAGTGACTTGAGGAAACTTCCTCAGAGCTCGGGCCGACGTTGCACCGCTCCAGCTGTGGCCTGACACAGCCGGCCAGAAGGCTCCACAAGGTTCACGGAGCTTGTTTTGTTCTGCTCTGTGGGCCGGGCTGGCCGACTTTCTCTGGGGCTGCGGGGGGCCGCCACGATGCTGAGAGCGTGCCAGACATCGCCGCTCGCGATACCAGCCAGGGTAACACTCGCCAATCGAATAACATGAGCCCTCCGATTGCAAGGAGCATCAGGACACCTCCTGCAACAAGGAGAACTCCGAATCCGAGATCGGCTACGGAGTTGTGGCACGAATCCTGCCACCGTGGCAGCGCACACTGAACCTCCAGAAAGCCTATACCCAGCGATGACAGCTGTGCCCCTTCCGCGGCACCGTTGTCACTGTCGGCATGTGCGTGGGCTGCAACAGCCATTCTGCACTGCTGGCACAAACTTGAAGCTGCAGAGCATTGGTCCGAGGAGGCACCACTTCCCCCGCAACCACCGGCAGATTCCATCGATGACCAGGCAGACTGCGCATCACAACAAACTGCCAAAGGCTCAGATGGATCCAATTGTCTGCAATCAAGGACTGCTGCTTTGCTTGCCAGGCACGCTAGACTGCCAAGCAAATAACCACGAAACATGGCGGGTCGTTGCCCGGATCGCCACAATAATCCTCAAGACATGTCCAATCTGATTATGAATTTGAACGGTGGTTCCTCGTTTTTTGTTTGTTCGGTGAAACATTCTTTCACCTTTTTTCAAAGAATACACATTGCCCTCCACATGTCCACCATCTGCACTCCAGCCAGTGCTGCGGAATTTTGACACAGGCAAGATGAGCAGCAAGGATTGATTTCAGCCCAGAACAGCACAACACCAATCTTCAAAAATGTAAACCTTCGTCGAGTATACACATGACGTCAGCGCACAAAACCCCTTGCTAATGGACGACAAATGAACTACAAGCTTGCAAATCAAACCGCTAAGCCCTAAGCCTAGGCAGAGCGAAAAGACCGAAATCCAAAAACTCTAATTTCATGCCGATGCCCTGATTCCTTTTGACACAGGAGTGTCCACGCACACACACACAACGCTTGCATGGCTTGGTCACGGTAACACCATGCCCCTGTCCAATTCATGAAGATCCATGACCTGCAAGGTTATTCAACACCCAAGGTGTGTGCGTGTATAACTCCAGCATCCGGCGATAGTCGCAACCATTGCAGGCAGCTACCGGTATCTTCCGAAAAAACGACATTTGAAACTTATTTTGCGATTCCAATTTGCTTGCACTGGACCGGAAGCTGCTGGAAAAACATGGGGCCGCACACATCAAGCATGCAAAGTCACAGGTTTGAACTGATCTCACGCGCGTTCACAAATTACTTGCCACCTCGAAGTGCGAATATGTGCAATCAACCTATCAAACCATACACTCCAATCTGCAGTGCGGGAGAGAGAGGGAAAGAGAGAGAGAGAGAGAGAGAGAGAGAGAGAGAAGAGAGAGAGAGAGAGAGAGTTCGGTTTAAGGCTTCCGTTTCCTACCGGGTTAAGTAGACACGGGATTGGACCTAAACAGCAAGCAGCGGTCAACCCTCTCCCTCTTTTTGTCCGTTGGCGAGAAAGCCGTCCAGTCGTCTGGTATCCGGTCCAGTGTTTGGACCGGTCGGAAACCGGCAGCTACAAACGGACCGGCTACCTCGAACCGGTCGGCAGAAGTTGGTGGAC